ACTCATGATTTGGGGATTTAACCATCTGCAGGAGTTCAGGAGTCATATTCTATTCAAATCACAGCACAGAGTTTTTTCAAGTAAAGCTTTATGTATGAATTAACAAAGCATGGGCAGCACATCACCACTGAAGCTGTCTTTCAGGGTCCTGAAAAGTGGTGGTGGTGGCAGCGTGGTTTCTAAGGATGTTAAGTTAGAACACACTTGCATAATTTCGTTCCTCAGCATTTTTTAGTCTATTTGAGAATTTTCCATAGTAAAATTTTATGCTTTTTTTTTTTTATAATTTTAAGACAGATTTTTAATGAGTAACACTTTAAATAAACACAGTGACATAGCATCATCCATTGCCTTCTCCAAAATGGACAAGTTCCATCTTCACAGAGGGAAGTGAGAAAGAAGTGGCTCATACTGCCACAGCAAACCCCAAATCCAAGCCACCGTTGGATCAGCCTGTGTGCTCAGGCTCCCCCACGCTGGACCCCGAGATTGGTTTCATGGACAACCAAGGTGCCACAGAAGAAATGATTAAAAACAACTAGAAGAGGGCTACTCCCTTGTGACTCCTGCCTGAAAGTCTGAAATCTGAGCAGAATTCATCTCAGTTTCTCTAATGAATTCCTCTGTTGCTGTCATGCGGTTAATTCTCCACATTTTCTACTACGCTGATTATTTAAAAAAAAAAATAAAATAAAGAAGAAGAAGTAAAAAGGAAAAGGAGCCAGCCAATATAAACATCAAAGGGCACTCCCACTTCTGTGGCCTTCAGATATTTTCCAGAGCTGGCTGTGGGGACAAAAGAGATTGGGAGTGGGTGGGACTTTGTTTCCTCTAGGGGACAATGGGCCAAAACTTCCAGACAATGCTGGGGCGCAAGCAGCTGGCACAGCACCGGGCAGCGGTTTGCGCAGGGACCAGAGGATGCTTCTGTGCTTCAGCTGGGCTGACCCAGCTCTCGCTGACCGGCACAGTGCGCAGGAGAGTGGGGCCCTCCCTAAAGGGAGTCCAGTTGCACATATCCCCTCCTGGGCCTCAGACCAAAGAACTGAAGCTGGCTGGGGGAAGGGTCAGGGGAGGGAGGCGAACTCCAGAAACTTAAAACCAGCACAACTTTTCATTTCCTGAACTTAAAGCAAATAACTGTTTGTGGTATTCACTGGAGTTTGGGGTTTTTTTTCTTTTGCCAAGACTGTAGACCCCACAAAAGACTGCCTGGAAGATTAGTCTGAAGTTAATGAGATGAGACTGAATGGGAATAAATGTAAAAATCTATTACATGGATACAAGAAAGAAAACGAGTCCATGGCTAAGTTCAGGATGGGAGAATGACCAAGCAGCCCCAGAGTTCATGTGAAAAGGATCTGGGGGTTTCGGTTGACTGTGAACATTACATGAGCCAACCGTGTGTCTTGGCTGCTGAAAATCCCAATGCATCCTAAGGCCAGATTAGCAGAAGAATAGTGTCCAGGGTAAGGAGAAAAGAACTGTCTCCCTGTGATCAGCACTGGCTGGACACAGCTGGACTCAGCTCTACTCTCAGTGCCAAATTTTAAAGAATATACAGAAAAACTGGAGTATGTCAAAAGAGTCACAGGGAGAGAAAGGATATGGAAATCCTGTCCTATGAAAAATAAGTGGAGACCTGGGATTGTTTCAACTGGGAAAGAAGAAAGGATTTGGGAGGTCAGCTGGCTACAAACAGAGTGTGGCTCCGAGGAAGAGAGAGCCGGCTTATCGCTAGGACTCCAAACGGCAGATAAATGGGCAGAAAACTAGCTCAACAAAATGAGCATTTGTCTAACAGTTCAAACCGTCTCAAAACGAAATAGGCTGTTTTCTGGAACGGTTGTTTTTCCAGCACTGGAAGAGTTCTAATGTGCATCTGTCAGGGATGTTAAAATTGAGAGCTCCAGCAGAAAATGCAAGATTAGTCTCAAGGCCTCGTTAGATTCTTTCCAAATTTAAGATTCTGAGCCTGAGAATTATATAACGACAAAGAAACAGCACCAGAAACAAGAGCTACTTCTCGCTGCCTTGAATCCTCCTATACCATCAGAGGGAAATTTATTCGCAGTTGTTTGACAATGCCATTGCAGCTCCTGAGCTGGTAGGCAGGGTCTTCAAAAAGTTCCTAGAAATGCGTATCAGGAAAAAACTGCGCGTGGATTTCAAAGTGTTTGGACACGTAGATAAACATCTTTTAATCTCACTTTCCATGAACTTTTGGAAGTTGCCTCATAGTGTAAGAGAAACCTCCCCTTCAGTTAGTCTCGAGCGAAATAAATCATGGTTTATAGGAATTCCAGGATTCGAATACCATTGCTAACAGGATTATTAACCTGCTTTGCCTTTTAGACACCTTATCTTCAGATATCATATGTCAAAAAGCAGAACTCCTTGAGGGTGGGGTCCGAATCCATTCACCGTTATACTCCTAAGGCCAAGCACTGTGGTTGGCAACAAGTAGGAGCCAAAAATATTTGCTGCCTGTGCTAGGATTGTACTAGGCCCACTGGATACAGCAATAAACAGAACAGAGTTGGTCTTAACAATCATGGAACCTATAATCTAGAGAAAACCACCAATATCGGACAAAAAATAATAAAAAGAAACACACAACAATAATATTATAACAACTATAATGAAGAAAACGTATAGGGGAAGAGGAATGAAGTGGCTGTCTGATTTTCTCAGGAAGTGATCTCTACACGGAAACCTGAAGGAAAATAGGAGTTGGCCAGGTAGACTGGGGGAAGGAAAACTGTCATGGAGGGAAACAAGAGCGTGCATGCAGGTGCTACAAGTGAGAGGCAGACCATGGACACCTTGTAGGCCACACTATTATTTTTAGGTTGAATCCTAAGAGTGTAATCAGAGGACAGTGGAAGATTTTTAAGCAAGGAAACAACATGAAATTATCCCCAGCCTGCTGCACTGGGAAGGACTGGAACAGCGTATTTCAAACCACCCATGGGTCATGGAATGAACTCAGCTGATCATGCATGCCCAGCAAGGAAAAAAAGGAAAAGGCATAGAGTTTTCAAACATATCAAAATGCATCACACAGAGTAATAGTATGTATTATTTTGTGAATCTTTTATTTCAGATTTACTTACAGAATCATAATAGGACATGTATGTGTGTGTGTGCACGTGCACACACTGGGGGTATACTGAAAATATTTTTATTGTGGGTCACAGTCAAATAAACTTCAAAAGTCAGTAGCTGTAGGAAAGCAGGAGTAGGAATGGGGAGATCAGTAGGGGGTGACAAGAATAGTTAAGATGGTAAGTATACTGAGAAGTGGACAGATTCAACACTTTCCCCGGAGATGGACATTCCAAAGGACACAGTGACCGCTTGCCTTTGGAGGACAAATGATAGGGAGATGTCAAGGAAGACTCAGGTTACCAGCAGCCATTAACTTGAAAAACGGATGAACGGGCGAGTGAACAAGTGAGTAAGTGGAGACAGTGCAGTAAATCTAGCTTCACTCTAGTTTTTTTTATATTTAACTATTAAAAAACAAATCTATGCCTAGTATTTAAAACACCAGGAACTAACTTTTACCCTTGGTTTCTCCTCATAAGCTTTTTTTTTTAAACAAGATTAATTGATTTATTTATTTGAGAGGTGGAGTTGCAAACAGAGACAGGGAGAGACAGAGAGAAAGGTCTTCCATCTGCTGGTTCACTCCCCAAATGGATGCAACGGCTGGAGCTGGGTCGATCCAAAGTAAGAAGCCAGGAGCTTCTTCCGGGTCTCCCACGCAGGTTCAGGGGCCCAAGGACTTGGGCCATCTTCTACTGCTGTCCCAGGCCACAGCAGAGAGCTGGATCAGAAGACGAACGGCCGGGACACAAACCAGCACCCATAAGGGATTCTGGTGCCACAGGCAGAGGCTTACCCACTACACCAGTGCCGGCCCCTCTGCATAAGCTTATTAGAGAACAGTCTCATGTCTTCAACATTATATCCCCAGGCCCAGTTATGGGACTTGCTCAGTAGTCATGTCTTGAATGCAGTAAAATAAAAGTGAAAAAGTAGCCAGTCTTAGGGAAAATGAAGTGTTCTCTGTCTCTTAAAGTCAAAGAAGAGCAAGTCAACTTGGGACAGGTTTTTCTGAAAAGCTGCAGCTTCATAATCAAAAGTCACATTTTATAAAACTAAAGGAAGCTTATCTTTAACACTATAATCATATTACAAAAGCACTACAGAATATTCACGCATCTTCAAAAGTGCTTTTCCACCGTATTGGCATGTCTCCTTCTCACTCTGTTTACAGATCTCCAAGAGGCTCAAGTTCTTAATTTATAGTTGTAAACATTACTCAGATTTTTGCTGTGTACTTGGTAGAGGGCAGAGATAGGTAATTCATAGTTTAAAAAAAAAAATGGGTCGTGGAGAATATCCAAGAAAACCTAAAGCTACCTAGCAGCAGAGACCACAGTAACCCACCCCCTTGCCTTCTGGTCTGTAGTTAGCCATGTGGCAGTTTGATTACACCCAGACTAACAGCATTCTTTTGTTGCTTCTGGTACATGTGGGTTGTCTATTCACTTTTCACTCCCTCAAAGGCAGAGAGCATGTCTTCTACTGTTACTGCTCTGTCCGTCACGCTTAGCAGTCCCGAACACAGCAGCCGCCTAGTCTTTCTTGACTGGACAAGCAGTGAGATTAAAACGGAGATCTTCTCATTTAGAGGCTGTTAAACTAGATTCTGCCCCCTTCCTCAAGCTGCGTTGGTCTCAAACACAAGTTTTATCTCCAGCTGTCCATGTCTACTAACAGGATGGCAATTGCTTCTTTCCAAAACAAAAAGCATTTTCCACTGTAAGTTATAGTTGCAACTGGGATGTTGACATGTACCCCGAGCAAAGATTTTTATCTGGGCTGCAAAGGGGGAAAGTGTAACACACAAGCATAATTCTTTCAACAAATCCAGTAACCCTGTTTCTTTGGGTCTAGGCAGCCCTCTCAGCTTGTTTGTTTATTTCAAGGTCCCATGCCATTTCCCCTGGAGTTCCTGCTAATAAGCAGTGCATCGAGTGTGACCACACTAGGACATGGCTGGCACAGTGATTTCCAACAAGTAACCTGCCATCGCACACAAAGAGAGCACTGAAAAGTGGACACCAGTGGAGGCGAAGTCAGGGGTGAAGAAGCTCAAAGGAGGCCTAAACAAACATCTCCACAAACAGAAGCTCGCTCCCCGGAACTTCCGCCTTCATCTGACTTGGTCAGAACAGATTGGAAATAGAGGGTTGGTATGTCAGCTTTGTCTATCTGGGTTTCTAGGTCTCCTGGTTCAAAATGCAGATTGTTGTCGTGTATCTGTCAACCGAAACTCGAGGTGCTCATTTAGAGAATAATTCTCACAGCTTTTAAGAGAATTTTGAGTTTGGCCAAGTGTTTTACTGTCAGTCTCTTTTCTTGATAACAGTTTCTTTTCTTGATAACAGTTCTAAGAAGCTAATATAACACTGTTCCCATCAATGTACAAGAAAGCAAGAGATGTAAGCAACTTTGTGCCAATCACCTGGAGGCAGCTTGAAGATACAGCCTCGTCCTCATAAGTCTCCCCTCGTCCTGGGGAAAGCACAACCGATTAGAACACAGGAGATGAGGGAAGAATGCTAGGGCTAACAACATCCTCCAAGACGTAAGGTGGGTAAAAGCACACGCATTACAGGAACCACATGAAACCTGTGTGGCAGTGGACAGTCCACATGGGATTATCCACTGAAGAGTGAAAGTTCCCATGAAATGAATTCCACAAAAATAGTACCACTAAAAAGTCAACATGAATGTGAAGTACAGAAGCATTCTGAGTGCCTCAATGAAAAGGAGCCACACCAGTTTTAGTGGGACAAATCAGCAGACCTGAAAACATCGCCTATCACTAAATTCTTTGATTAAAGAAGTCCATGCATCTAAATAATCTATTTCAAAACTTATTAATAAAAAGAAGCTGGAAATGCCCCTTGTTCAACAAGAGTAGCTCGCAAGATGATTTCTCACAAAGTAAAGTAGGACATTAAACTAAAAAATTAAAAAAGAAAGGGGGGAGGGTTGGCAACAGACATGTCAAATCTCATCCATCAGGTTGGAGTGAAGAGCTTGGGTATGTTTACCTAAACATTAGCAGAAACCTATAGCTGTAAGTAGACAACTTGAATTCTGGATAGAAAAGTCTGTTTTCAGAGAGAACATAAATAACTTTTGAATGCCTGACAATTAAGGTTTAATCAAGATTGTGGCCAATTAAAAGGAATCATCAGAGACTTAGTGTGTTTTTACAGTCATTAGTAAAAACATAAGTTTTCCAATTTGGTCATTCAAGTTTGGAGCAGAACAATCTGCTTTCAGGGAGGCCAATATACTCTATTCACTAACTTGTGCAACTGAACACGAAGTCCTCTTCTCTTCACAACAAAAGACGAAGCAGCATCCAAAAGGAAGACCTCATGAAAGGCTCCTTTCAAACAGTGGATCTTGCTGTGTCCTCTCGATTCAGGGCTCATAAATAAAGGGACACCACAGCTGCAACTTATGATTAACCACGGTATAGTATTTCAAACAGTGAATAACGTTGTAGTTATTGCAACCAACGGAACTCCTTATATTGGCTCCACAGACGACCTTGGCTTTGTCTAGCCTGTAGGTGACCTGAATTGAAGAGAGATGTCTGGGTTGAAGTTTAACTCAGTGTCTGAAAAGCTATGTCACATGGCTGGGGAGTCGGGCATGTTGTAACTTCAGCAACTCCCACACCTCTCCCTGTGATTGGATGGTGTAAAGGTAACTCTAAACAGAGCAGTGAAAAGTAAAACTATTTGGTCAGTCTTGGAAGCTCTTGAATAAGGCCCAAACATTTGGGAACAGTCTAAGTAAACCTCTCAGGTTATTCTTACACAACCAAGGTAACTTTATGGCCTGCCCTGGGCAGGTGCAGTGGCAAATGTTTCTCAAGTCATTAACGACACATACTCTTTCTCTGCCCTCTACGGAGGACAGCATTTTCTTAAGGAGAACAGAAAGGCTTCACCTCTTGATTTACAGACTAATCTGAGTTTTTCTGACTATGAGACCCTATTCCTGTGAGCTATCTGGGCTCTCAAAAGAGAGACCATAGAAAACAGAAAGAAAAAGTCTTCCATTATCTCTCTCCTTAGAAAGTATGCTCTGAAAAGCTGTCAAGAGCCCCCCAGATTTTAGCTGGGTTCAGGATCTAATGCTGAGAGTCATCTCCCCATGGCCAAAACAGATGAAAACTCAAGGAAGAGCCTGGCCTTTCTCATGTCAACTGCTCAGTAATTGTATCACTCAGTACCCAGTTTCCTATCAGAGGCCCTGATCATCTAATGGTTTCCAACACTGCAACACTGATTATACAGAAAGCCAGGCTTCCCTAAAGCAGATGCATGGCCCTTTAACATCACGATCCAAGCTCACATACTTAACTCTGACAGTCCATGGCTAATTTACATGTTAACACTATATTAGAAGTAGGTTTCCAAGGATAAGTACCCAATTTAAGATTTGAGCAATCACATTTCCATTCCCAACTCTGCCAACAAACCACTCAATTCTTTTAAAAATGAACAATAACATCTATCTAGCACTTTTTAAAAATATCTACTGTATCCTTTCTGAAATTTTTAAAGGTCTGCAGTAATATAGCATTAACTAATAATATTTAGATAACTAATATTGAAAACTAAACAGATACATATTTCCCAGGCCAGAGGCATTCGCTTGCATTTTTCATTTCATTATTACTAATTAAATGTGTACCATGAACCACAAGCAGAATCTAAAATTCATGTGCCATTATTTAAATCAATAAGATAAAATGCTAAAGAGACTGTGGATTATGATCCTGACCAGTACTGAGCCTAGAGTAGATCCCAAATGGACACATGCTAAATTGAGCCAATAAACCACAAAGATTAAACCTAATTTTTTCAAGATAGAGAGTCAAGGCTGGCGCCGCGGCTCAATAGGCTAATCCTATTTTTTCTTTCTTTCTTTCTTTCTTTCTTTCTTTCTTTCTTTCTTTCTTTCTTTCTTTCTCTCTCTCTCTCTCTCTCTCTCTCTCTCTTTCTCTCTTTCTTTCTCTCTTTCTTAAGATTTATCTATTTATTTGAAAGGGAGAGTTTACAGAGAGAAAGAGAGAGAGAGATCGATCTTCTGTCTACTGGTTCACCCCCTAGATGGTTACAAGGGCCAGCCAGGCCAGGCAGAAGCTAGGAGCCAGGAGCTTCATCTAGGTCTCCCATGTGGGCGACAGTGGGACAAGCACTTGGGCCATCTTCTGCTGCTTTCCCAGGTGCATTAGCAGGGAGCTGGATTGGAAGTGGAACAGCTGGAACTCAAATTGGCACCCAAATGGGAGGCTGGCATCACAGGTAGAGGCTTTATGCTTTATGCCACGACACTGGAACCAGTGAAATTAAATATCATTTCATTTCTTAAGTAGCCTAATCTAGATTTAGGAATTTAAGAGAAGGGAAAGTTGCTTATTTCTCTAAAGAATAAATAGTAAAGAAAAGGCAGTTTGATGCTAACATATATCTTTGCTGTTTTATATCTCAAGTCTCAAGATGTATAGTTTCTTTTTTTCTTTAAAGATTCATTTACTTACTTACTTCCAAGGCAAAGTGACAGAGAGAGGAAGAGCCAGAGACAGATCTTCCATTTATCGGTTTACTCCCCACTTGCTGGCAGCAGACAGGAGCCAGGAGCTTCATCCAGATCTCCCACATGAGTGGCAGGAACCCCAGTACTTGGACCGTCATCTTCTGCCTCCCAGGTGCATTAGCAGGGAGCCAGATCAGAAGCAGAGTAGCTGAGACTTGAGTCAGCACTCCTTTATAGGACGCACGCATCTCAAGCAGCAGTTCAACACCTGTGCCACAATGCCCACCCCTTTTTGAAATGAGTAGAAAATGGATGAAACTTATTTTTATTGATTGATCAATAATTGCCACTGAGGAAATAAACAACACTTTCGGTGGTATCTCTTAATTTTTAAGGTTAGTGACAAGAAAGTAGGAAAACATTGCTTGGTTTCAGACTTACACAGCAGTACTCCACAATGCTCCCTTTTCCATAAAGAAATCTACACTGGATTGGCTGAGAAAATTATCCAGCGGCCACTCGTGTTCATTCAATCACTATTCTCTGCCTCTGGAAATGGAAGATTGAATAAAATGAGGTTCCTGCCCTTTGGAGGCTTACAGTGCACATGAAAATCCCAATATAATATATTCATCAACTGCATACTTAAGGTTTGTGCACTTCATTGTATGTGAATTACACCATAAAAATATTAAAAGAAAGATTGAGACAGGTAAGGTAAGATCCACCTAGCAGCAGAAGCAATGCTAACAGAACTAGAAAACAGGGAGGGGTTCTGCCTGGGAGGTCTAGCAAGGCGTCACCAGAGAGTGACAGCAGGCAGAGAGGCTGGCGGGCCCATCCTGACACGGGGAAAGTCGCAGCAAAGCACAGGGTGAGGGAGAGCAAGGAGCCAGGGCAAGCATCCGGGGCAGTGCTGGGAGTTGAGGCTCCAGTGAATCTGGGCTCTGGTCTGTAGAAAAGAAGGTGAAACGTTTTCGAATAGAATACTGGAGCAGGTTTGTTTCCAAGTGACTAACTCATTCTACCTTCCCAGAAGACAGCAACATCATCCCTAAATCCAATTCACTTTCCCAAGCCCACTGCTAGAAAGAATGTGGGGGGGGCGGGGGCGGGGGATTACCTTCCTAAACTTATTAATTCACAGTTCACACCATCAATGCAACAACCACAAGTAATGGGCCAGCTAACAGGAAAGTAGAGCCATGGGCCAAACCTTACACTGTTGCTTATAACAATTGCTTATGAATGATGGTTCTAAAAAGCTCTTATCTTAAAAAAAGAAGAAAAAAAAAAGTCAGGTATTTGGATTAGTGGTTAAGACTCTAGTAAAGATGCCTGCAGTCCACATGGAGCATCTGGGTTCAATAACCCAGCTCCAACTCCTGACTCCAGCTTCCTGCTAATGCAGGCCCTGGGAGGCAGCCGGGATGGCTCAAGTGACTGCTTCCCTGCCACCCCCATGGGAGATGTGGACCGAGGTCCTGGCTTCCAGCTTTGGCTCAGACATTGCAGGCATCTGGGGAGTGAACTAGGAGATGGAAGTGCTCCGGCGCACTCTCTCTAAATAAATAAATAAATAATTTTTAAAGACAAAAAAACTACTATCCATAGTTCTGTTCTTAACTTGGTAAAGTATATTCTAAAGGACTACGAAAAATATGAGAAAAATAAGAAAACTGGTGTTGAAAATCCTATGAAATATGTCCAATTCAGTAAGAGGGAAGAAGTGTACAAAACAATACATATAACTGCATTCTTTGTTCAGAAAATGAATAATACACATGTTAATATATGCATTGAAAAGTGATACCAATCGTCCACAGCACTTAAGTCTAAGGTTAGGGAGGGCCTTTTCCCTTTCTCCATAATACAGTTCTTGTCTAAATTTAATGAGTATGTACTACTTCTGAAAACTGAAAAACACATGAAGAACCAATTCAATTTAAATAAAATCTCTTGATGGTGGCCTATAATCACAAGTGCTGTGGGAAGCCCGATAAGCACACTAAGCACTTCCATGTGAGGGTGACCACTAACAAGCGGGGACACATTTCTCTGTGGTCAGTACAACACAGCCAAGGAAGGGTCCGGAGAGCACCAGGCAAACCTCACCCACCTGCTCTCTGTTCTCCCCCTCAATTTATCCAAGAACATGCTGTCCTTGCTTGCTAAGATTAGGTTTTCCCATGGCCTTTAAAATGATTATTTTAATGTGATGAGTTTGCTGTTTGTTTTAGCAGCAAATAATCTCCAGTTATTGCGTTTATGAGAAACAAATATACATGTTAAGTCTGTGGAATTTCTCCCTTTGAAGGAGCAGCAAATCCAAGAGATTAAAGAATTCTACCTGCCACTCCACTCACCCTAGTCAGAAACTCCGAATTTCTTCAAGCCTGAATCTAATCTGCTGGCAATAACATGCTGGCAACACTTCATTATCTAGTTATTCTTCAATTTTCAGAGTGCACCCTTACACAGCGTTTCATTGATTCACAAAGAAACGCTGTAAGGCAGCAAGGGCTCGAAATCATCCCATCCTTCCTGTTGTTCATCATTTCTGCATTTTTAAGAGAGACTGGGCTTGTAATGGGGTAAGAAATACAAAGGGGTACCTTCCTAGTGTATCACATTTGGATAAAAGGAAATAATATTTAAAAAAAAAAAAAGTAAAACCAAGCAAAACCAAAATATCAGTCATGGTCCCACCACGAGATACAATATTATTACCTCCTGGGGCCTATAGGTTTTTCTTTTTTGTTTTTAAGATTTATTTATTTATTTGAAAGTCAGAGTTACACAGAGAGAGAAGGAGAGGCTGGGGGCGGGGCGGGGGGAGGGAGTCTTCCATCCACTGGTTCACTCCCCAGTTGGTTGTAATGGCCGGAGCTGTGCCGATCCAAAGCCAGGAGCCAGGAGCTTCTTCCAGGTCTCCCACGCGGGTGCAGGGGCCCAAGGACTTGGGCCATCTTCTACTGCTTTCCCAGGCCATAGAAGAGAGCTGGATCGGAAGTGGAGCAGCCGGGATTGAACTGGCACCCATATGGGATGCCGGCACTGCAAGCGGTAGCTTTACCTGCTACACCATAGTGCCAGTCCCCACATAGGTTTTCAATATTTCTAATTATTCTCCAGGTTCCATTATATGGGTTTAAAGATGAGAATATTGGGGTGGCCATTGTGGCAGAGCAAGTTAAGCCACCATTTGGGACACCACATCCCATATGGGAGAGGCTGGTTTGAATTCCAGCTGCTCCATTTCCAATCCATCTCCCTGCTAATGCACCTGGGAGGGCAGTGGATGACGGCTCAAGGACTTGGACCCCTACTACCCATATGGGAGACCTGGGTGAAGTTCCTGGCTCCTGGCTTCAGCCTGGCTCAGACCTGGCTATTGTGGCCATTTGGGGAGTGAAACAGCAGATGGAAGATCTCTCTCTTCTCTGTCTCTCCCTCTCTGTCACTCTGCCTTTCAAATAAATGTCTTGTTTAAACATATGAGAATATTCTCACAGGGTAGTAAGCTAGGGTTAAACAGAAGCCATGGACTCTCAATCACATGAGCAAATCCCTTCCTTCTTACTAATCCTTCTTTCTAAATGTTGAAGCATTACTAAGAGGAAAGCTTCAGAAACACTGATTTTGAGATGTTCATGCTGTATTTCCACGTACAAGTAAATTTATCAATGGTCTTTGGAAAGAAGTGCCTCTAGTATAAAAAAAGACTGTCAAAGTTAATCATCTCTAAAAATTCTCTTTCACTGAAGCAATTCTAATCTCTGGAATTGTGGCCAGGGGTCAAGAATCTGGATCCATGGGCTATCAGACCAGGCCAAGAAAGTTAAAATCCGCCCCCAAATAAGGAGGCAACCAAATTAAAATCAAAATCGTAAACCAACTTTTAAGTTGGAACAAGGGTCAGCCAAGTGAAAGAAAGGATTAGAAGTCTTGAAGGGTGAGGCTGAACAACAAATCCCTTTGTTGGAGACTGCTGGCTGATCACAGCACCTGTTTCTTCTTCCCTCTAGACACACAGCTAGACGGTATTTTCTAGTTTTCCTCTTCCTTGTAGTTCAATCCGGCCATGTAAGTCCTTGCCATTGGAATATGGGTGACAATGACATGAGACACCTCCAGATGGGCTCCTAAAAACCTCCCTTTTTCTCTTTCTTCTTCCAAGCTGACTTTGGAAGTCTTTTTTTTTGTTTTAAAGACGATGGAGCCACACAATAGAAGAAGCCTGGTCTTGGATTATTATCTGGAGAACAGTCTCTCAACAACAAGAACATTTAACTAAACTTTAGTGGAGCAAAAAATAAATTTGTATTTATTAAGTCATTGATTTTGAGGACTTATATATTACAGCACAAGTGTTACAGGTTCCCTGTCAGGTGACAAGTGCAGTCCTACCTAGTTTTGGATCAGACTGCCTTCATCAATCTAAAGCCATGCCTGCTGTGCAGGCTTTAAGAGACAGGTGAAAAAAATCATGCTAGATTTCTTTTTTGTCAATGTACCCTTATTCTATCTAAATTTCACCTAGGTTAAGAATATGTGTTATAAGCAAATAGTGAAAAGAATTAGTAAAACCTAGTGCCTACTCAAGTTGTTGGTTTTTTTGTTTTGTTTTGTTTTAATTTTGAGAGAGAGAGATATCTTCATCTGCCGGTTTACTCCTCCATATGTCCATAACAGCCAAGGTTGGGCCACATTGAAGCCAAGAGCCAGGAACTCCATCTGAGTATCCCACATGGGTGGCAAGGACCCAAGCACTGGAGCCATCACCGCTAAGATGCACAATAGCAGGACACTGGCTCAGAAACATGGCAGGCCTCGGAGTAAACACTCCGAGATAGGAAACGGGCAGCACTGCACCAGAGTGCCCACCCCAACTCAAGTATTTAAGATTTCGTCTTTTATAGTGGGGGAGGCATAATCAAAAGGAATCCCAATAAGTACCTGTATATATGTTTTTCAAATCAGATACGCAAGGAGGTAAGAGAGAGAATGCAAAACTAAATATTTGTTGAATGTCTACTACATCCCAGAAGCTTTCACAGATATATTTTTACTTAATCCTCATAATAAATCTATGTAGTAGTTATTACCAAGAGAAGAAACTGATGTTCATAACAATTCAGTAATCAACCTTAAGTTATTCGTCTAAGAAATAGGGAGCCCAGCACTAAGCCCTATCCTATTCAGCTCAAAACTTAAATTCTTTTCACTGTATCTTAACTACCTTGCCATTTGCATACTTTCTAGAGATCCGCAAAAGTTCCCCTGATCTAAGTTACCCCAAAGATAACTTCTTTGTGTCTCATATCTCTAGGTGTAATGACAGAATCCACGCCCCTTAAATCTGAAAGAAACAAAGCATGTTTGCAAATGTCTCACCATTTTCCCTGGCAGCTGACCTCCCAGGGAAGGTGGCGTAGAACTAATTTCTACAGTACATGTTTCTTTCAACTTCTAGCAGGTGGTAAGAATATTAAGCATCTCTCTAGCTCTCTTTTACCATATGCATACCCAGGTATGCACGTGTGCATACACAATTTAATCATCTTCACTTCAAGTCACCTGACTTTTGAGCCAGGTCACCCATAATCAGAAACTGGCACAAATACAGAGGAAACAGGAAAAAGAATCCAAATTGCATAGAATACTAAAACATCAATGAACTCTCATAGTTTCTATTCAAGCCAATCCTGGTGCCCTTACCTCTGCAAACACATTACCGTATGTGACATCATTACATTTGGAGATAAACTTAAAAACCAACATAATGATTTAAACTGGCAGGGAACACACTGAAATGCTGGCATCAGCTAACATTGGAAAAAGGAAATCACAGAGCTACCCAGGACGCTGCCTAGCTGTTCATTTAGCTTTGGGAGAAAATCTCTCTTATGGAAGAGAACTTCTAAATTGAAGCCACAAGATGGCCTGCGCTGGAGCAGTGGTTTCAATGGGAGACCAAGACCCCATGGGAGCACAGAGACCACACACTAGATGGGAGGCTTCTTGGACTTTTCACCTCACCCGCTGGGTTATGGTGGCAAATACCCAT